AGAAGAAAACGTGTTTTGCTACATAAAATGGGTACACTACAAAAATTAAAACTTGCCGTCTATGAATTTGAATTTGAAGACTAGTCAAGTCTGTTGGCTCCTCTTCCTCCTCTTTCCCCAATTGGGTGCTACCTCTTGCTGATCATTATAGGTGGGTGGTGGTGGTCTAGAAGTGAGAAAGTGACGGTTTTTGGTTTTGGGTGTGGTGTGGTGTGGTGGGGTGGCGTGGGGTGGGGTGGGGTGGCGTGGGGTGGGTGACTAGAGAAATTGTTGTGTTTTTTTTTCTTTTTTTGGATTTTGATTTTAATTATTTTGTTATAGAAAAAATAAATTTATCATTTTAACTTTGTAACATTAGTCAAAATTTGATCAAAGCATTGACTTTTGGTCAACTAATAGAGAAACTACGGTTTCTGTTAAATTGTAATCCGAGTATGAGTTTTTTAAAGGTTTGATACCGTAAGTAACTCAGGACTCCTGAAAACACCTACTGTCGAGTTAATCAAATTAAAAGTTTTGATCAAGTTTGCATAAAAGTAAATAGGTTGGAACCGTAGCTGCAATTTTCCCTTTACGTTTACATAGTTGCTTGATTCCACAAAACCTCACTCTCTTTGATTTGAATTTTTGAGATGGATTTGATGACTCATTCCTCAAGGTTCCTCCTTCCTGATTTTCCTGCCGACAATGGCTCTTCTCAATTTTACGCACTGGTACTACTAAACCAACGCATCCCTCGATTCACTCCCCTGCTCTGGAACCACGGTAAATTATCATTCGGTCTAATCGATTTTTTTCTTTTTTCTCAAGTTAGTTCTACTTTTGTTATGCAAGTTAGTTCTACTTTTGTTATGCATTTATGCGGCAGCGGTAAAAAACGCAGTTTAATAACTCTGTGTAGAACAGCACGACTTCGTGTGTGTGCAGATGGCGGAGCGAATCGCCTGTATGATGAGTTGCCGCAATTGTTTCCAGATGAACAAGCCTTGGCTATTCGAAAAAGGTTCGTCAAAATTGTTGAATACGATGAGATTTAAATGAGTATGTGTGCTGACCGTTTCTAACAACTTAAAGCTTCTACACGAGATGGACACATCAGATTCGAGTCCTAGTCTCGGTGACCAATTTTTAAAAGAGCAATCCGATGTTACAAACTATTTTGCAATTGCGTCTTGTGATCATCAGACATTGAGGAGTATTGTTTAATACATTTGATGCATGTTGCAATAGTATCAGTAGACTTTTGTTATTGTTTTTATTATTATTTAAATTTCAGATGCATGTGAGATATATCCAGTGCATAAATTTTTTTTTTGCTTTGGAAGTTGTAGATTTTCTATGATAGTTGTAACCTGTAAATTCCCAAATGAAGCTTAGTTTCATAAAAAAGAGGAGACTTGACTTTAAAACAAAAAGATCACAAAGGAATTAAGAAGGCAATTATGGTTTAGAAGAGGAGACTTGACTTTAAAACTAAAAGATCAGAAAGGAATTCTGAGAAATAAAGAAGGCAATTCCGATTTTTATTGCAATGAGGTACTGTTGTAGTTTTATTAACAAATTGACTTTCTATAGTATTATAGTTTTGGGGGTTTTGAAAATCAAATGAAGATCCGTTCTTTCTATTTCTCTACCTTGGCTTAAGAAGAATAAAAACATAGGTGAGGTTCTTATTCAATGCAATCTGTCTATGAAAGGAAAAAGAGGAGTATAAGAACAATAATTATGATGATGCTATTTTGTACCTCTTTGGTGCTAATCACGTGTTGTTTATGCAAGAGTGAAATTGGTGGCCTTCCTATGAGAAATTGAATCCAAAGGGACAATTGACGGATTCAGTTTACTGGTTGTGAACCCATGTCCAGGACTTCATGCTGTGACTGAAACATGAAGCTTTTGGAGATAATATATTTTGGTAATTCATGTGTAATGCTTTAAGTGAGCAGTCTGCCATCTGAAAAGAGAGAATTTTCTTTTATCACTCTTTATTGGTGATAGGATCCATTTAGATTGATAATATACTGAAAGTGTGAGTTTTTGAATCAAGATAGTTTATATAGGTGGCCCTTGCAACTTTAGCCCTTGTTTGACAACCATTATTTACAAATTCTTTTATGTTAATACTCATTTTCAACCTCACATTTACACAATAAAATATTTTCTACGTAATCCCAAAACTTTTCCCTATTTTTTAACCACACATTCTCCAAAAAATCACTATTTAAAACACTATTTTCTCGAAATAATGGCCATCAAACAGGGGTTTAGTAATTTCATTTGCTCTTTGGTCTCCTAGTCTTTATGCTGACTCTTGTTTGGGTAATCATTCTCACAGTTTCCAGAATTGTGTGCTCAGGGTATACTGCACTGAGTGAATTGCTTCTTGGTTTTCAAGTCTCAAATTTGATCAGATAAAATTCTTGTGAATATTTGATTATATTGATAGAACATGAGTGATTGGAGTCTGTTCTTAATATCTTTATCCTATACTTCCAAGAACCAGAGATAAAATTAAATAAACGAAAATATTTGTCTAACAATTGGAACTTATAATTATGTGGATGATCCAGGTATAAGCCAGATATAATAAAAGGAGACATGGATTCGATTAGAGCAGAGGTATTGGAGTTCTATACAAATCTGGTGAGATAATTGTATCCTTTTGTTGTTAAAAATGCAGCAAATCTTTCGAAGTTATTTATATAGATGCTTGAGTAGAGTCGAACACTAATTTTGTATCTTTGCTTTCTGTGGATGTCACCAAATTTTAGAACCCATGTTAATGGTACTTTCTTCGTATGATCGCATAAGACGCGTAATCTTAAATGCCACTTTCCACTGCAGGGAAATATAGGCCAGGTTTTGCAAATTTAGATCATGACGTGACCCCATTAGTTATATGATGAAGCTTTTCCCATCATGTGCCATTAGGGGAAAAAAATTGATTTAGTATTTGAGCTTCCTATCATGTTGATATGACTCGCCCTTATTACTACGGATCTAGTTCCCTACTGTTGTTCCGAATCATAATAATTTTAGAGCCTAGTTGATAAAACACCATTGTTTTCTTAATTAGTCCCTCCGTCCTATTTATATAGATTGATTTTGTTTTTCACACATATTAAGAAATTTTATTTAATGTTATTGAAAAAACAATTTTTGCAAAGAATTTTCCTAATTTACCCTTATTTAATTATAGTAAATTATGTGTTTTTGTCCATGTTTTCCAGAAGAAGTGGGAAATGTGTGTGTGCCAAGAAAGTAAATTAAAATCTGTACAACTTCAAGATTAAGTAGCAGGAATTGGCTATAATTAGGCAAATTAAATAAATGTATATTAGTAAACGAACAAAACAAATACTTCCTCAATAAAGAATTAGGACTATATAAATGAGACAAAAAAATAAAGAAAGTCAGTCTATATAAATGGGACGAAAGTTCTTTGTGTTACCGCTTGAGTTAAATAATGTCTATATATTCTTAAAATTTGATGACTGCAGACAATTGATGCTCATTTTGACCAATGAAATTTAGTAATCAGTTCAAGATGTTCAGTTAGGATATGATGACATTGTTTTTGTATGCCTATAGTTCTAGAGAACTAATTAATTTACATTTTCAAATATTTAACTCGTTCTTTGGTATGTTCTATAAAACCGTATACTGAGTATCTATAGATTGCTTCTCAAATGCAGGGAACCAACACAATAGATGCTTGTCATGATCAGGATACCACGGATTTTCATAAATGTGTAGCATACATTTGTGGCTTACCAAATCTGGAGAATCATAATGTATGGATAATGCTTCAAACGTTCCATTATCTCCATGCTTAATATCTATAATATTTATGCTTGATCTCTGTTTGTGATCCATCTTGTCATCAGATGTACTCTTTCTTGAAGAAAACATCTAGTATAAACTGAAAAACCTGTGAAGGGGGTAAATGGAACTTGAAACTTAAATCGTATAGGATGAATGCTAGCTTATTGTTATTAGCAACCTTGATGGAATCTGAAACATTTATGAGCTTGCTTGGGAGTGATTATAATTTGTGAGTCCTACAAAATATGTGGATAATAAGTGTACAGTAGTTGTGAGTCCTAGGAAATGTATGAATAAAAAATATGTTTGACCAATTTAAATTACGCACTATACTAAAGGATCTTCCCTTTCTCTTTTCTTCTATTTTCACTTGTGTGCATCTATTGACATTCTAATCGTCATGCCTGTGCTTAAATTTTAGTTATGCATTCTTGTTGCCGGAGCACTTGGTGGGAGGTTTGACCATGAGGCTGGAAATACCAACGTACTATGTTTTTTCTCAACCACCCGAATTATACTTCTATCGGATGATTGCCTAATCCAACTTCTTCCAAGTAGTCATCATCATGAGATCTATATTCAGTCCTCTGTTGAGGGCCCACACTGTGGACTCATTCCAATTGGCATACCATCTAGAAGCACTACAACCACTGGGCTTCAGTGGGATCTTAGTAAGTGTTCATCATTACATGCATTCTAATCTTTTTATCCTTTCGATGATTGTGGCTCTTCTCAAATGCTGGTCTATGACGACCTCGCTTTCTTTAGTCAAGTCGAGACAGTTTGAATAAGATATCATTCTTGAATTAAATTCCATCTTTTGGTAAATTTAATACTTCTGTGCCTAATGCAACCGTGGTTAATGTACTTCCTTTCAGCTGATACAGAAATGAGGTTTGGTGGCTTGATCAGTACTTCAAACATCGTAAAAGGAGAGATAGTAACTGTCAGATCTGATTCGGACCTTCTCTGGACTATATCCATTAAAAAGGCATGAAAAGTTGTGCTTCTGAGATGGATCGCGCAACTTATAGATGGTTATTGATTCGGCTGAATTATTCGCTGTGATGCCTCTCATATATTGAACGAGTTTGATGCTTTTTGTAAGTTTCGAGTTCATAAGCTCCATTCTTGTTCTATTTGTGTATGATGACTTTGATTCTTTATTCAAAGAAATGCTTCAGGCTGGTCAGCGCCTCAGCGGTAGTGTTTGTATAGCACATGAAACGTTCTCGAGGGATGAAATTATCTTTGGTGATTTTTGTTAAATTAGTGTATTTGCCTAGCTTGTGGTAGATTCAAGTTGGTTTGCTACGTATAGTTTGAATCTAAATCTAAAATCATGAAAAATAAAATTTAAAAACGGAGACGAGAAAGAGTACAGGTGTATTCAGGGAGTACTGTACTGTCAAAGCTTTCGTGGAGATAATATCTATATTGAGATCGACCAACCATTTAAAAGGAAGATCACAGTGGGATATGTGGAGATTTTAGATATTTAGAGGAGAAGAGGTGAAATCAGGCAGGCCGACTATGGTCTTTATTCTTGTTACCAAATAGCAACAAGTTAATTTTAGTGATTTGTCAATTTTTTAATGGTGGGACAGATAGACAACCCTATGAATAAAACATAAATGAAATAACACTGATAATAATTTTAGATATGATATTAGCAAAAAACTGTGAAAAGGATCTTGTCTTGTCGATTTGATAGGAAAGATGATAGGCAAAAATTTCATAAATACTGATCAAGTGGTCAACAAATTTCGACCAACTAGAACTAGGTGTCTTCTGTTCACTAGAATGCATCGTTAGGGTGAAAAGACTACCGTCCCAGATAAAACAACGATGATCATTTGTACTCCGGATTGTTTGTACTCCGATGATTAATTAAATTGTCATAATAAGAAAAATGAGATAAAGTGAGAGGATTTGATGTACATACCTTGAATGTAAATGTGTTGCACATATATAGGAAGACATGATACAAGTGAGCCACTATTAGAGCCTGTTTGTTTCTGCTTTTTTTCCAAATTTTAATCAATTTTCTTACCGTTGCCAGCTGCAATTGTTGACCTTTCTCTCACACTTCAGCTCAGCAACAATCCAAAAATTGCTTTTAATTTGGGGAATAATTGCTGCTAGACAAGCTCTCTTGTCCCTCATCGAGACAAGGAATTGGGATAGAGACAAAGAACATAGTCTCGCACAAATTCACAAAATCTTAATTTTTTATTTTTATTTTTTAAAATTTTAATTTTATTTTAAAGAATAGAATAATAAATAAATATTGCCAATCCCACATCTCCTCTTTTAAAATTTATAAATCTTATTTTAAAGAATAGAATATTAATAAATAAATATTGTCAATCCCATATCAAATTAGAAAATGGACTGTGCTACTCTACCAGATTGGTACAAACTCTGGTAGAGCCAACGATCATAGGGGGGTGAGTGATAAAACATTTGAGGGGGTTTTTTTTAATGAGGTGGGTCCCGAGAACCCACCTCATGCGAGGCAACCACTCTACCAGGCCTTTTACAGGCCTGGTAGAGTAGTTTAATTCTTAGAAAATTGGTGGGGCCAAGGAGAGAGACGATTATTTTTTTCCTTTTTATTTATTTTAGCTAAGGGCATAATGGTATTTCGACAACAATCTTCATTACATGTCCAGAGACACAAATTTAAAAGATCAAAGCTGCAAATAAATATAAGGTTAAACCTAAATATTATATTACTCATAAGTTAGGGGTCTCCACTGCAATTTTCTTAAAACTCAAAATAACTTTCTTTATTGAGCGAGAGAGATTCGGTGATTCGTCTGGACTCTGGAGATCAAAACCAGTTTCGTTCTCCTAGATAGCTCTCTCTTACTCGGTACCCGTAATTTCTTTTCGCTTTTAGGGTTTAATGTATTAATCTCCGTTTTCATCCATTATTATTTATACAAGCTTTTAGGGGTTTGAACTGTTAATTTTTTTTTTTTGCCTGAATGCAGGTTTCTTCTGTGCACTAGAATTAAAAGATGGTAAGGTGGTACTTCCTGAATACTCGGTGTTCGGAGGTTTTTTTTGGCTGTGAAATTTGAGTCTGTTGCGTATTTTTTTATATTATTCGCTTGGTTGATTTTTGCGTTTTGCATTGCAGCTTCCACTTTCGTTGCTAAAGACAGCCCAAGGCCACCCTATTGTGCGAATTTTACTTTAACTTGTTTTTGCCTTTTACATAATACTTCAAAATGAGGAGATTAGGAAATTGATTTCTTTTTTTTATGATTTTCTTGAATAATAATTATGAAAAATAAAGAGCTGTGGATTCAGTTTTGGTTGGTGATGCTTATGCTGGTTCCTGTCATTTGTGTTAGCTGGTGGAACTGAAAAATGGGGAGACATACAATGGGCATTTGGTAAATTGCGACACTTGGATGAACATTCATCTCCGTGAAGTTATATGTACCTCCAAGGTTCTTTATTTCTTCTCTTGAATTTATTATTATGATACCTTGATGTATTCTTTTCCCTTTTTCCTTTTCTTTTGATTGATTTTTTAAATTCTTTTTTATGGTTTTATAATATAGGATGGAGATAGGTTTTGGCGGATGCCGGAATGCTACATCAGGGGAAATACGATTAAGTATCTTAGAGTTCCGGATGAGGTATGCTTTAGAACATCTTTTTTTCTGCAGGTAGTTTTATGTTCTACTGTTCTATTTGCTTTTCTGCTAGTAATTTACTGTTCGCTTATTTTCCACTGTTGAAATTAGATATAGGATTTTGTCGAAGGAGCTTATTTAGATTTCTTTTTTGGGATAATATACGATATAATTTCTCCATACCTTGATTGGTAGATTGTGCTAGATTTATACGTACACTATCTTTTGCGTTGTATTTTGGTATATAGATGAATGTAGTGTGAATGCAGTTGTCAGTAATGGGCATAGTTTGAGTTCCTTGGTGAACTCTCAACTAGACTTTCTGTTGGCATAGCCTCATTTCGTAGGGAGCTTTATTCAAGTGTAGCTGCTTTGAACGGAAACACCAATCAGTGGCAGCAGTTGTATAACTTCCCGTGCAGATATAAATTTAAATGTCTTCACTTTCTGAAAGCAAGCAGCATTTATTTCAAACTTAACCCTTAAAAGAATTTTTTTTTTGTGTGTGTGTGTGTGTGCGGTTTTTTACTTTGGGGTGGGGTGGGTAGGTGGGATATCAGACAAATGTTTTCTCCTCCACTCCTTCCTGAGCAATGGCTTTTTATCAACTTCGTTTCTTAAATTATTGTAGTAATACACTGATTTATTATTGGTGTGGTCCATATGTGAATTAATGGCATCATTTAGAGGAAGTTTTTAATTGGAATGCATAATCTTCCTGCGAAGTTTTGGAAATCCATTGAATTCATCTAAATGCTTGATGATTGCATGCTATAGTGTTTCTTTCATAGTTTCATTGCAGTCTTTTTTGCTATTCTGTCACTCTGTTCTGTGATCTGATATTGTAATAAATTAACAAAACTAAAGTGAATTATTATTTTTGTCTTCCTTCTAGATGATTGAGCAGCATTGACATATTGAATCTTCTTGCATGGCAGGTAATCGATAAAGTTCAAGAAGAGACAAAGAATCGTGCTGGTATGCTCTGCCTTTTGTTTCGTCTCTGTCTTTCCATTTAAAATCTGAATAATTATCTGCAGACATCTTATCGAGTGGAATGGATCCTTTATTTTATCAAAAGCAAGGACCTAGAGACTCTGTGATTTAAAAATCAGACACTCTACAGGAAGTTTTTCCATAACTCGTTCCAGGAATTGCAGTCAATTATTTTCTAATGTTATGAATGTTTCCTTTTTCATTTACACTGTTTTGACTGAATGAACGCCTCTTCTTAGTGCTGCCTATATACTTATGCTCATCGTGATTGTGTCATGCCTTCGATATTTATTTTTATTATCTTCTTCTGAAGTCAATTGGTATCTTTTGAATATACTCAGATAGGAGGCCACCTGGAGTAGGGCGTGGAAGAGGTAGAGGCCGAGAGGATGGCTCAAAACCAAAAGGTATTGGCCGTGGCATGGAGGAAGGAGCTGCTAGAGGCATGGGTGGAGGTCGAGGCAGAGTTGGATCTGGAGGAAAGGCTGGTGGAAGCAGAGGTAGATCCTTTTATTTGAATTTCTTAAAGCTTGGAGCTGTTCTGGATGTGTGCATAACCTAACATATCCATTGTTGCTTAGCTATGGGGTTGAAGCTGTTTATAATAGTCTTCTTTTATATATAGCTACTCACACGTAATTAAACAATTTGTTGATTTGATTAGTATTTGATATACTATGCTTGGTAGCTAATTCACGAAGCGTGAGCTACATTTTCCAAAGAGACAGACGCACTTAAAATAGTAAATAATTGATTTTGTCATCTAAGTTAATAACAGGATTTGTATGCAACTGTTTTTATGACCTTCATATGTGGGTATCCATCCTGGTCCCTACTCAGCAAGAGTACATTAATGAATTGTTTTTATGACCTTTCATGTGTGTATATGTGCTGTATCACTAGAATAAACCATTATCATCTTGTGCCAGGTGGAGGGCGAGGCCGAGGATATGAAGGGTAGATGTCAATGCAGCTGAAGGGGGATGGTCTGCCGTTTTTCAGAGGCCACAATATCAAGATGAGGCAGTATAAATGTGCCTTTTTGGTATTTTCAGCATTACTGCTTTGTCCTAGTACGACGAAGTTGTTATTACTAATAGGTTGGTAGAAAAACCTAGGTTTTACAAGGATGGATATGCCATTATAAATGTTCTTTGGTCGGATTTATTTATGTAACATTTGACAATTAGATTTTGCAAAGTTTCTTGGTCTTTATTAGACCACAGAATGGATTGTGCAATATTAAAGGCCGATATTTCAACTTTTTAGTATTAATTGTCTGTGCTAGTTATATTCTCTAAAAAGTTTGGCCTCACACGTCCCATACTTGATGAATAATTCCAAAATGTGTGTGAGAATTAATAATGTGGTCTGACTGGATACTGAAAATGCAAAGATGGGAAATTGTGTAGTGATTATCTAAAGAAAGCATCTGTAATTTGCATTTTTAAACTGTT